CCTAAAACAGAAGTTTATCATTCAACACTTTGTTCCAGCTTGATGCTGAGGATTAACATGCTTTTGAGTTATGATTATTGAACCAACTATATATCCATCTAACGATAGCATAAGCCAACTCATATTTGTCATATTGTCTACTGAAATCTCATGGAATATTTTATCAAATGTTTTGCTAAATAGATATACTGTGTGTACTATACTCTTAACTGGCCACTGAATCAAAGAGAAATTTAGGTTGGTTTGACATAATTTATTCTTGATAAACCCATGCTGTCATGCTGTGTTCTTTTCTAAAGGCTCATATACCAACTGCTTAATAATCTTACTATGACTTCCTGTAAAATCTAAGACCCTATTTACTGAATAGTCTATTCAAGTCATGCCTCTGATGCGTGACATCTGAGATAGTTTGGACAGAAAATGAATCTTCTAGAATTAGTATTCAAGCTTAGATATGAAATAGAAACTGCTTGGTAACTCTTGGCAATAACTCAGGTCCATATAACTGGCAAGCCCAAGAAACAAGAACTCATAGAATTCAGAAAAGTACATTTAATTCTAGTCAGGAGTAAAATACATTTCTGACCACTGTAAAAATCTCCAGGCAGCCCTACAGCAAATAAATTCAGGCCTAGCCTTTTTGAAATGTTTCCTTCCCCTAGTGTCTCACCTGGGGTGGGCTGCCTGTCCTTATACCAACTGAACTCATACCTGTTCCTCACAGTCTTTTACTTAGATGACTTCCATGGGATCTAGAAGTAGTGTAGCTCTCCTGATTCTGGTATCTCAATATGTAATACCATTGCCATAGTTTCTGGTAACCTGCAAGGTGGGGAGCTGGAGGCACTGTTTTACAGGGATTTTGTTCCTTCCAAAGCGGGCTAAAATAATTATATTAAAGGAAGAGTATTTAAGCATGTCACTGCTCCCATATGGAGTCCCATAGGATTTGTATTTTGTTACATTATTTAACATTTATATGAAACTCAGGGAAAGACAATCTGATTTGGAATGAATATGAATATATGCTGATATTACCCAACTACACGTCTCTACTGTAGCTGGACAGAAAATACTGTGTACATTCTAAACTTGGAAGCTGTACGCATCTGGATGGGACAGAACAGACTGAAACGGAATATACCAAGACAGAATGGTTATTTATTTGGACATCAAGTGATTCTCCAGCAGCTTGTGCCAACTCTGGATGTAGTTGCACTCCCCTGAAAAGTATGTGCAAGAAGCCAGAGCTTGCTAGAGGGTGGGGGCTTTGCCCAGCCTTGACTGTAAATTGTATCTCTAGCTAGAGCAGATAGTCTTATTAACAGTCACTCACATCCTTATTGTTGGAATGAGAATTTGGGGATTAAAAGCATCTGCATGGATTGGCTTGTAACTCTCATATGTTTAGTTTAGTTTTATATTATTGTTTACAACGGTAAGTGTAATGAGTTTTTATCTGGATGTCAGCCACCCAGTGTTTCTGGAGCTGGGAGGATATAAATTTTAATAATGATTGGTATTAATAGTGCCTGCCCCAAGTAGTAAAACATTTAAAATATTGACGTTTATAAAATCAAATTCTATGTATGTCATTTATACATATGAATTGGCTCAAATTGTACATGTGACAATCTGGGACAAGTAAAGAAAAGGTTTGAGGCAGTTTATCTGTAGAAGAGGTTTCTGTGGGTCTCATCTCAGAGCTGTAGAGAGTTTTTTTTTTATAATTGCAAAAGTTTGTCTATATTTTTTGACATTTTGGTTCTTCCAGTAGAACCAAATGGATTTTGAATGTTTTTAAAAAACCAGATAATTACTGAGAAAGGAAACTGCTGTTCTTCCTATCTTTCCAAACTCTCCAAGGTTTAAAGCCTGTTTTCTACCACCATCTAGTGGCTTTCTTGTGAATGCTAAATTTTACCATTGACTACAGTATTAGCAGCATGTTGGATACTTATTATCTGCCAGCACACAAAACCGAAATGTGACATGTGGTCAACACATACCAGTGTTCAGATCCACAAAACCTGAGAGCAAAAGAGAGTAAAACAGCCAAAGCCCTACCCTATGGTTTACAAACACAATGGTTGAATTCATATAACATGCTAGACAATAGACATTAAAAAAGTCAATGAACATTGCTTTTGTTGAGAAGTAGCTGACATTCCAAATCAATAAAATAACATTTCAAATTTATGGTTGTAACAGCATAAATATGGAACCAATATTTGATAACAAAAGACTAACTTAAGGGATAACGTATCAACAATAATAATGCAAATGCAAACTCTGCACATTATGTTCAAATTAACATTTTCAGAGCCTGCTTCTTTCAATCTGTAGAAAATATTTTGATTTCCTTCTCTTATGCCACAAAAGCTACTATTTCTGCTGTTAGCCAAAAATCCAACCATTTCAGTTATTTGTGAACTTAATTTAGCAACAGCGTTTCCATATAACATGGTAGAAATTTCACTTAACATGGCAACAATTTTACTACAATTCTTATATTTAAAGATTACTATGGGCATTAACTTTTATTGAAGCACAAACAGAATACACCAATACTGTATGTAATTAGTACATAATCAATTTTCCATGATGGTTTTTAAATCTGTGGCAAACAATGCAAATATATTTATAACTGGAACTTTAGTCTTTGTATGACATTAGAATTCATTATACATTTTCTAATTAAAGAAGTTTAGTCCACTTAACCAAAATGCTAGTTGTGCATTATAATGTAAGAAAATGTGTCTACAGATAGAGCTCTTTATTTTTTTGCAGTTCTTCACTAAATAAATATTGCATTTAGGAGGCATTTCTATTATACCAAGTTGTTTTCATGAACAGAATTGCAGTGTTTTTTTGTACAAAGAAAAACAAATTTTAAAAAGTTGTATCAATATACTGTTCAGAGTATTTTTGACTTTGTTCCAAAAATTGTTTATAGCTCCTAGCAACCACATAGATTTTCTCCATGATGATCTATCCGTTTTTTCCAAGTTTCTCACTGGTACACTCATTGCCACACTAAGTCCACCCCCCTTGCTGCTGGTTGTCCTTTTCCCACGTTTCCCAGCACTAGAATCTTTTCCAGAGAGCTGGGTCTTTGCATAATGTGTCTGAAGTAAGATAAATTGAGCCTGGTCATTTGTGTCTTGAGAGGGAACTTTGGGTTGATCTGGTTTGTCTCCTTGGCTGCCAATGGTATTTTTAGGAGTTTTCTCTAACACTGATGTTCAAATGGATCAATACTTTTCTGATAAAACCCCAAGTGACCTCAAGAGCTCTCAGGGAGTGTGCTAACCACCAGATGACTACAAATAGATATGATCCTTCCAACCCTCCCCCCCATCCTGTCAGAACAAATCCTTCCATCATCCCCACCATCCTGCCAGAACTGATGAAGCTTCTTGGATGAGAAGTGAAACTTCTTCCTCAAGGAAAACAGTCCACATCATAGCATTTGAAAGTCTTTTCTAAGGCCTTCATGATTGCTCTGCTGAGTGCTAAACTGCAACATATTTCTTGACTGCTTATTCTTTTACTGTTGATAGTTGATCCTAAAAGCCAGAAGTCAACCACTACTTGGATATCTTCATTGTCAACTCTAATTTCAGTTCTAATAACCTTGACCACAGAACTTAAATTTTAAAAAAAGTTTTGGCCAGATGACTGTAGCTCGCATTCATTCTGAATTATCTTTATTTACAATGGTTTTTAATAGCAAATACCTACTTTCAAAGAAGCAGCTTTACACAAGGTGCATGGAACATAAATGGAGTAATCTAAATACACTGCTCAAAAAAATAAAGGGAACACAAGCAGAAGACATCCGAAATCTGAATGAATGAAATAGCCTTATTAAATACTTTGTTCGTTACATACAGTAGTTTTGTATTCCCTTTAGTTGTTTGAGCAGTGTATAAACTACTGTATGTAAAGAACAAAGTATTTAATAAGGCTATTTCATTCATTCAGATTTCGGATGTCTTCTGCTTGTGTTCTTTATTTTTTTGAGCAGTATATTTTCTTTAAACTTATATTTCATTCCATCCAGAAGTTCGTCCCACAGCCTGCACCATAAGTGACAGAAAACCCAGGCACTCTGATGACAGCCTTTTTACTTAAAACTGTTTTTGTGGCTTACTTCTCTTCCTGTGCTGCCCACTCGACCCAAAATACTTGCGCAAGTTCAACGAGCAACGAAATGAGGGAGGCAGTTCCTTTCCTGCAATTAAAGTCGCTGTGGCTTCCTAGCTATTCCTTCTGTTCGTTATTCTTTTTGGAGCACTTGGAGAACAGGACCACTTTCTGGTTTCTGTGGTCAGAAAGGGCCTGAATTCCTTTCCCAAAATAGCAACTGCCCTTTTACCTTCTAGGAGGATAATTTTGTGTCTTTTCCAAAAGCGGGACCTTGCTGGTCCAACTGCTAGGTCCCAAACAAGCAAACCACATTATGCCTTAGCTCCGTTGTTTGTGACTTCAGTCATAACAGGAGAAACTTGTGTTTCTTTGAAATTTGAAAAATATTAAAAAATTCTGCTTAACGTGTAATAAGTCTTTAATGGCCAAGTAACTCATGAAATCAATCTTGGCGATTTTAGGAACCTTGAATGAAAAATGCTTTGATAGTTTCCAGAACGCAACCTTTCATTTATGTTACTCTTGTTATGACTGGAGCTTTTCTGCTTTGGGGCAAAGACGCTCCCAAAGAAACCTGGATGACCAACGGCTAACTTTGGCACAGGGTGCAGAGTCAGACAGCCGGAGCATGCTCAGGCCGCAACCACCGAAGCCCGTTTCAGGAACTCTAGCCTCAGCTTGCCAGTACCGCGAGCAAGAAATCCAACTCTTATAGGCTGAGGACCAGAGGCCTTTAACCAATAGGAGGTGAGCTTTTCCGGGGAGACCATCCGCCGGTGTGACCCTTCACGCCCTTCGGATTGTGTCGCTGCCTCTGATTGGTTCGCTGCCTCTGATAGGCGGGTATGGCCGACGCTTTCCCGAAGCTTACGCTGAGTAGCGAAGCTTAGGCACAGCCGGGTCTCTCTTGGTAGGAAGTGCGGGCGGCTACGGGAGGGTCGAGTTGAACAGAGCCGCTGGGGAGGCTCCGCCCCTTCTCCTGATTTGAGATTGGGGTGAGTGTGGAGCGAAGCGGAGCAGGATCGAGGTGAGGCTTTGGTATCCGGTAGGTCTCCATGATCTGGTCCAGGGAATCGTTGCCTTCCTTCTCCCAGGAAGCAAACTTCTCCAACCTTGAACCCTCTAGATGCCATGAATTCCTATAGTTCTGGCCAGCGCGGCAAGGACGTGTTTGGATGCGGTGCTGGCAGTTGTAATTCAGTGCATCTGGACGGCGCCAGGTGGGAAAAGATGCCATGCAGGGAACGTTTGCTTCCTCTTGGTTTCAGAGCTCTAAGACTTAAATTGTGGGTTTTTGTGGTTTCCTTCCTGAAAGAAGCTCATGCTGGTGAAGGGGAAATGCGGTTTGATGAGGCTTGCAGACTCGGGGATGGAGAGAATGCAGATGCTGGATCTCTTTGTATCTGATAGTTACTAATGACAGATTTCTTCATCTATGAATAAATTGAAAACTTTCTTCATTTCTGGAAAAGGATTTAAGGTCCTTTTTGTTATGTGTATTGAGAAGATGAAAGAGAGCATCTGTCATGGTTTTTTTGTATGTCTGTTTGGTTCAGGTAATAGGATTGCCCAGTTAGATTATAATGCAGAATGTGATCTGGTCTTTTTTTCTACCACAGATGCACCTCTCAACTTTTGATAAAGAGCATAGGTTAAGGACTTGTTAGCGCTTGTCAGCATATTGGTTAAATAATGATACACTGGGTCATTTTCTTTCTACCTTCCCCCTCTGTGTAATCAATATTTATGAAGAGAGATTTTGTTCATAAGGAAACAATGATAATTGGGGTAAATTAAAACATGTAAATATTTATTTATTTATTTAATTTGTATACCGCCCTTCTCCCAGAAGGGACTCAGCCAAAATTAAAAAACATACAAATACAAAAGTTAAGATAATTAAAAACAATTAAATCATTGGTTTCCCAATTTAAAACCCCCAAGTCCATAAAATTTAAAATCCCAATTAAGAGCCATTTAGGCTAGGCCGGCTTGGTGGAATAAATAAGTCTTCAGGGCCTTACGGAAGGTCTGGAGGTCCGGGATCAGCCGTATTCCAGGAGGCAGCTTGTTCCACAGGGCGGGTGCCCCCACAGAGAAGGCTCTCCCCCTGGGGGCCGCCAGCCGACATTGCCTGACCGACGGCACCCTGAGGAGGCCCTCTCTGTGAGAGCGTATTGGCCGGTGGGAGGTTATCGGTAGCAGCAGGCGGTCTCGCAAATATCCTGGCCCTAAGCCATGGAGCGCTTTAAAGATGAGAACCAATACCTTAAAGCGCACCCGGAAGACCACCGGGAGCCAATGCAGCTCGCGCAGGAGAGGTGTTACATGGGAGCACCACGTCGCTCCCATAATCACCCGCGCGGCCGCATTCTGCACCAGCTGGAGCCTCCGGGTGCTCCTCAAGGGGAGCCCCATGTAGAGAGCGTTGCAGTAGTCCAGGCGTGACATGACGAGGGCATGAGTGACCGTGCACAAGGAGTCCCTGTGTAAATATAACAATTTTATGCATTTATTTTGTTTGCAATGCACTTTCCTCTGGGTTTTCATTCAACTTCTTCATGCAATCTCTGTTCATTATTGTCTGAATGGGAAATATAATTTTCTATAGCCTTAGAAGTATGAAGCCCATGGTAATTTATGTTTCACTTCAATGGCACAGAAATTAAATGTGCTGCTAGTTTATTTTGTTGTTTACTTATTAATTTTTGTGTTTACAATTTCCACTATTTAACAGGCTATGAATTTTAGGTTTTAATAGATAATTTTATGTTTCAAAACTGTTATTTCAGAAATGTTTATCTTTGTTCACCTTAATTTTCCCTTCAGTGAAATAAATAAAAAATTAAGTTAAATCACAAATGCATATTTACAGTATGCAGGTATCAGAACGTGATGGTGGAGTGTCCACAGGGAATGGATTAGACAGTGCCACAGCATCTGATGCCCAGCAAGTTTCGCCCTCTCAACCTAAGCCTCCTTCCTTGGACCTCTTTAATCTGGTGGTATCCTATAAGCAACTAGAGCTGTACCTGGAACCACTGCAGGATGTTGCTGAAGGAGTGTGGTTCCTCCTCAGGTTGGTGCTTTTCTATATAGCTACTTTTTCATAGTTCGTAGAACTATCATAGATCTATCATAGTTCATAGATCATAGTTCAGCAAAATCTATGCCTGTTGTCATTCTTGAGAATAGAGGAATAAATTCTTTTTGTAAGATTTGCTTTTTCTAGTGGGAAAAAGGGAAGCCTTTCTGGCCTAAATGTTTAAATCAGAGGATGTACAATACCTTATGATCATTACCTTTCCTTTGTCTTATTGTTCTGGCGTTAGTTCATTTCATTTTAAGACCGTAGAAAGAAGCTTTGTTAGACCATAAAAAGGCTTATCTAACTTAGCATTCTTTCCCATATCAGTCTTCTATGCAAATACAATTTTTAAGGATCATAATTGCTGTGATTCTGAGATTGCATGTAGCTCCTGTACCTCCTTTTCTTAGCTCTTAGGGTCCTTTTCACATTGCTTTTAAACTATGATGAAACAGTTGCTGGTAATCAACTCCTGCCGTATTGATGTTGGAAACAGAAGGGATTTTTAACATAAGGTTAAAGGTTTCACATACTTTAAAAACTTTTTTTGGATTGGTTCAAATCGCAGGAAAAAATATATGATACTAGATCCTTTCTAATTCTTTATGCAGCCTTTTTTACTCACTTTTCCTCAGTGCTCTTCCTAATTAATAACTAATAAATAGCATCCTTTTCAGATTGTAAATTTTTGATTGCTTCTACTCCACAGCTGGCAGATGCCCTTCTGCTCTCTCCTTACTTGTTTGGGCCTCAACTTTCTGCTGCTTACTCTGAGTGAAGGTGAGAAGTATTGGATGGATATGCTGGGCAATTCTGGGACCTGTTTTCCCAGAAATCATGAAATGGATTGAGTTAATGGGAGGAGTGTAGAATATGATTTTGTTCAGAAAACATTTAGGAAGGCTGGCAGGAGCTTGTCATCATGTATGGTGGGAAAATTGCACTGACAGCTGGTATTGAAACTTCCTATGATGAGGCAGTATGTTAGGGGGGCAGTAAAACGACTGCTGATTAGATAAGCTGTGGGTGGCTTAATAAACTCTGCATCTATTCCATCTTGCATTGTAGCTGCTTGGTATGGGCTGTGTGCCCTGCTAATCTCAGTGCCTGCCATGCTCGGCTATCTACAGGAAACATGCCGCATCCGTCTTACTGAAGAGCAGCTGGCACGCCGTAGGTATCACAGTGTGCGGCGAGAAGATGTGAGAAAAGTTCAACTTTCTCGAAATGAGGCTGTGGCTGAAGTTAAGGGCTTGTAAGTCTGCTTGGGAGAGACGGGATTGGGCATTGTTTGAGCATGGAATTGAAGGGCCGTTGCTTGATATAAGTTGCTTGTTGAACTAATAAGGCTGGAGCGGAGAATGTTTTGTACTGGCTTGAGCTCCTGGAAAAAAGGCAGAAATTTTTTTTTATTAGGAAATGCTGTAGGCTGAGTCCACTATAATAACTTTTAAATTTTAAAAATGTTTTTTGAGTAGTTGTGAATCTAGGAGGTTGTGCGTTGGATCTGTTTGTGGCAGTGCAACCTCATCTAGTACCAAATGTGGCAAAATCCTAGAATCAGAAGGCCCCAAAGCCACTTAGTCTTGCCAGGGTTTAGTCAGAGCTTGTTTTTCCCCATCCAAGCCCCCACAGCCCCCAGGAACTGAGATAAGGCATCAACAACATCACTTAATTCATCATGGGTAGAGATGTATAATTGGGAATAATCAACATATTGATGATGCTTCACCATTTGGTGACAGAGGATCTCACTCAACAGCTTCATGTAGAAGTTAAATAGGACACTGAAACGCACAGTACCACATGAGGAAGAGGTTAAGATCATTCACTTCCAATCAACATGACTGGAAGCAACCCTGAAGAAAGGAGGAGAACCACCAAAATACAGTGTTGCCCATTCCCAATCTCTGGAGGGTATCTAGAAGGATATCATATATTGAAAGCCACTGAGGGGTGAAGTACAGCAAGGACAGACACACAACCCCCATTCTGCTTTCACCAGAGACTATCTAAAAGTGCGACCAATGCCATCTCCATCCCATGTTCAGGTCTGCATCCTGACTGAAAGGGATCTGGATAATCCACTTCATCCAGGCTCCTCTAAAGTGACTACATGACTGCCTTCTCTGCCACTTTTCCCCAAAAGGAGAGGTTAGATATTCAACAAACACTGTCCAGTATAGTGGGATCCAGTTTTTTGAGGAGAGGGTGAACCATCACTTCCTGAAGAGGTTGAGGAACAGCCTTCTCACTCAAGGAAAAATTAACCACATTATAAACTGGTCTATATGTGTATGTTCATATTTATTACAGGAGGCAGGGTGGAGAAGACACATTGGTGTTCCACCCTCCAATCTGTCCCTTATTCCAGTAAATTTACTCTCTTAGTGGCATAATTTAGAGGCCAACGGTTGCATTTGCATCAAATTTGAGAGGTTACTGACTGATTGGTTGACTGGTTTACATGCTGTTCCAGTCTTCCAAGAGTTTGGGAAGGGACTGCTTGTGTTTGAAGAAAACTAATATGACATCACAAATGCCACATGACTTGCTGTAGGTCCCACACTTTACTGTTTGTGATATGATGTAAACAAGACTTGTGCAATACTGAATATAACCCAATAATGATGCATGTGTGAAGAATTTCTCTCTTAAGAAACATTGGACGATCATTACATGTTTACTTGCACTGCCGCTCTAAGGATTCCCCCCATAGATTAGCTGTTTGTAAGAAGCATTACATCATTTCACCCACTGGGGATATCATATATCATTACTTTGTAACTCTGTCTTGGATGGAGAGTTATTGGTAATATAAATGATTTTATATTATATTTATAGTCCAGAATAGTGGATTGATTTCAGTTACTAAAGAAAAAGACACATTTTTAAATCATTGATTTTAATAAACTTTTTGATATATTTACAACTCTATACAGCCATTACTATAGATTTAGCACATCAATTGACTTTCATATGATTGTAGAGTTTAGCTTTTATCTTGCCTTTCTACTTTAGTATTTTTACTTTCTACTATCTTTTAATGATCCTTATTTTCACTCCCCCCCCCCATTCTGATCCATGTGCTGGATCAGAATGAGACCATGCCCAATGTTGTGTTCCCACAATGATTGGGGAGAAATTCACAATTAGGATAGGAGAGCAGTACAGGTAATTTGTATCCATAATGAATAGTAGAGGTTGGCAAGGATACATGCTTTTGCCGGTGCAGTTGGTCAGGACATTTCTTAGATAAGGAACTAATTTGGCCAGGTGTCAGCATTATCATCTTGCCAAATATAAAATTTGTGCTGTGAAATCAATAAAAATGCATCTTTAAGTACTTTGCATGGAATATTTTATTTATGCACATTTCTTCTCTAAAAACCAACTGCCCTTTTACCTTCTATAATGATAAAACTGAAAACTTTGTGTCTTTCTTTGAATAGAGTGACTTTTAAGTGCATGTTGTAATCATGCTAAAATACCACATACACTTATTTACAAGTGTCTGAATGATTTACGTTTGGGTAGGCATGTGTAGAATGGAATTGTTAGCTTCAAAGAGGTTCTGCAAATTTGTTTGCCATTGTTACCTCTAAGGAATTTCTGCTTACGGCAGATGCTTGTTCAGGATTGCCCAATAAAGTTTCATGGTTCAGCAAGGATTCAGCAATCCGGGTTGGAATACATCACATGTTGTAATGGATCATGCTGATTCTCATCTAGTCTGGGAAACTGATACAGTTGCTTTTTGCCTCCATCTCTGCCTGCCAATCTAGGGCTAGCTGGCATAAGAAGCTCCCGCAGGTCTCCCCCAACTCATGATGGGTGAGCTTAGCATGTCGTAATTGATATTTTACTCACCCAATTACTAATCCAGTGTTAAAAATTTGGACAAAAGTTCTCAACACATAAATAATCCGCAACTTTCTGCATCCGGTTTTTGCTGGCATGTGCAATATATTTATCCCCATCCAGCAGGTCACAAGATAAAGTCTTGTGACAGCACATTTTTCTGTCCTGTTACAATACATGCCTTGTTTCACAGCATCTGGCATTGAAGCATGTGCAAAAGTAGGAGAAATATGATATCTAGGCATGCTAAATGGACATGTGGCAAAAGTACGTATTAACTTATCCCATCTTGGTTTGAGTTACAAAAGTATTAATTTTTTCTGGAATGCTTTGGACTTGTGCTTTAAAAAAAATAAAAACTTATCAGACCTGACTAAATTTAAATAGTGGTGGCAACATTAATCCTAGCTTCTTCTTTGTGTGGACAAGGGGTCTGCTTTCTGAGTGTTGCTGCTTTCTATGATTACCCTGGAATAAATAAAGGGGAAAGCTTTATCTGTGAGGTTAGGTTGTTGAAGTCTCTATGTTGCAGTCACTGACTTCAGTGACTGCAGTCACTATTTGGCTGTGAGCTAGACAGCACAGTTATATTTAAAATTGTTGTCCTTTCTTTTCAGCCTGATCCGATTAGAAGCGCTCCTGAACAGGCTCTGTGGTGGCTGTGAAGCAGTTTACCGTGTCTTCTTCTGGGAGAACTCTACTGTCTCGTCCCAGTAAGTGTTGGCTTAGAACAATGGTGGGCAACCCTTTCAGCTCAGAACAAGCTGTACATTTGTTTGCTTTTGCCTCTTCCCTGAGATAAATTGTTTTAAGTTGTTTTTCCTTGAGTCTTTTTTTCATCAGTCCAAATACATCATCTTGCAGTTCACCAAATTGTGGTTTAGCGACTGAAGCATTGGGCAAGAAAAGGTTGGGTGCTCTTCATGAAAATTGATACATCACTGCTAGTCTTGCCTTTCTTAGAAGTTGGATATAGACTCAGGCAAATTAGAATATGCATATGATTGGATATAATTGGATAGAACATTTCATTGGATACAACACATTGTTTGCCTGCTGAGGTCAGCAAGGCCATTGGGTGTAATTATGAAGTAATGGGCCGGGACTGTAAAGACAAAGAGGCAGTGTTTCATGAACATAATTTACTTCTAGAAAATTACTTCTGCTTTTCTGGAGCTCTGCTCACCTCCCAGGATCTTTTCCTAGTTTTTTTGGCACTCTTTGGCATTCAAAATGTTCTCAAATATATAACTTCAACTATTCCCTTCCATCTCAGAAACTAGGTTTTTTTTCATGTTCTTTGTACACACAAATAAACGTAGTCAGACTTTAAAAAGCATTACAGCTGTCTAATTAACTAGCAACCCTATATTGACAGTTGATAATAATTTAAAAATCAAGTTCATTTACACAAAAAGGCTCAAAAGCAAGTTACAAATATGATTTAAATTCAGCATTATATAAAACAATTTAATAAATAAAATATTTAATAAATATTACTTAATGAAGGTAATTGACTTATGTTCGCTTACGATTGATTATTTAATGACCATTTGGAGTGATCATTTGGAGCCTTACAAAGTGTGCTTTATAATTCATAAAGTACTTCCTGTCATCATAAAATGTCACACTGCCCCCCCCCCCAAGTCATATGACTGAATTTCATGTGCTTGGCAACTGGCTTACATTTACAACTGCAGATCCTGTGATCACATGGCTGTGACTTATAATGTTTTTTTGCCAGTTCCCACCATTTTCTACTAATTTCTTGCAAAAAATATCTTTTGGAGGGAATGGATTTGTACTTACGAGTGTGTTTTGCTTAACGACCATGTGATTTGCTTAACAACTATCATAAAAATGGTTGTAAAATCAGATTTGTTCATGTGGTTGCCTCTATTTAATGGTTTATGACCAAAATTCTGGTTCCGATTATGGTTGTAAGATAATACACAATTAAAAAATTAAAACATACACAAAAATATGTAACCTTGTTTTTATAGCCATAGTTAAAAATCTGGCCGTTAACACTCAACTCACCCACATACAAATTTCCTTTGCCTAGGTTTATTTCATTAAACATGAAATATATGTAAGTATATGTATTTTACCAAAACTTCTGAAATCAAGAGTGAGAAAAAAACAACATAAGGGGGGGAAAGTGAAAAAATTGCATCAGCATTTTACACTTGAACAATATTGTTAAAAGAAATTAGAGTTTAAAAAATGTTTTTAGTGTGCTAATTCAAAGGAGAGGGAAAGTTAGGACTGTGGAGCTAGTATAGTCCCTGGATGCAGCAAGATCAGGGAAAACAGATAAAAACAGTGCAAAGACAAATATTTGTAAAGGAGGAAGTGGCCCAATTTGACACCACACAGTGGAGCCAATGTTTTCATTTTCTCTGGGAAGTTGTATTTGAGTTAGGGAGCTTTTAACTTGCCTCCTAAACCCGCACCCCCACTTCTCAGTCACTGGTATCTAAGTGTCATTCTGATGTTCAGGTATGTTATGTGTCTTCTTCTCCATTTTTCTCCTCTACTCCCTAGGTTTTATGGGATGCTGATGGGTTCAGTTTGTGCCCTTTACCTGCTGCCCCTCTGTTGGATCTTTGTTCTTCTTAATAGTGCCCTTTTCTTGGGCAATGGGGCATTTTATCAAGGTAAGTTATCCAAGATGATAACACACTCTCTATAAGGCAGCCTTTGACTTGCAAGCTTCATCTAGACCAGTGTTTCTCAACCTTGGTAGTTTGAAGATGGGTGGACTTCAACTCCCAGAATCCCCTAGCCAGCAGTGCTGGCTGGGGGATTCTGGGAGTTGAAATCCACCCATCTTCAAGCTTCCAAGGTTGAGAAACACTGATCTAGACCAAAGTGCAGTGGTTTGTCAGTTAACTGGACACAGTTGATTTAACAGCATAACACCTGTATTGGATCATGGACTGGCTGCCAGTTGGTGTCCATGTCCAGTTGAAAGTAGTGGCTGCTATCTTTGAAACCCCACATGGTTTAGACCCCAGGTTCTTTTAAGAGAAGGATACTCATCCCATGCCTTTTAGAATATTATGCCCCCTAAGAAATGTCCCTGTCAGTCCTTCATGGTAGACCAAATTAGATGACCAGTATCATGTAGGTCAATGCTATTTTATTATAAAGCTATAGCAACAGAATTTTGCAAGTCGGGATCTGCTCTATTCCCCCCTCCCCTTTCCCTTTTTCTTTGTGAGAACTGGTGGGGGAGGAGTTATCTGAGATGTTTACTCATATTACTTTTTTGGCTCTGGACTCATAATATTATTTGATTGTTGCCTTGATGGTGGTTCTTTGTCCAGTCCCTCAAAGCTATTTCCTAAAAACCAACCTCCTGGATTTTAGGAAGATCTTAAAAACATTTTGTGTAGCATTTGGGTCCTAGGCTTCTCTAGTCAGATTGTTGAGGATTTTTTAAATTGTAATTTCATTACAAGCACCGAGTCCTTTGGGAAATGAGTTATCTGTAAATGATTGTATCATTAAAATTTAAACAAATCATTTCACCCGTGAACTTCTCTATTGCATTGGGACTTTGGTAGAGAAAATTGGAGAAGCTTGCTGAAAATGATTTTCAAGGTAGAAGCCTTTTTTGCTGGATATCTGTGCGAGGCAAGGAATTAATTTTATCATATTCTGTGGCTGACTCTTAATGTAAGTGGGACTAATAAAACATTTTAGGTCAGGGAACGGGTGGAGAGAGCAAGAGTCGTTTTCCTTTTTTTGCTTCCTCAGTCCCATATTACATCCTTTGGTGTTCATATCAGCCAGGTGGCAATGCCATTTCCTGCAATGTAACTCTGATAATGCTGGAAGCCTTGTTATTGCAAGACCTTCTACTCGAAGAAGCTCAGTTTGCAGTTTCTTGTGGAACACGCTGGCAGAGAACAAGAAGTAGGATAACTGAGCATTTGAGTCTTAATAAAAATGGGAGTGCAATGATCTGCAGATATTTAATGCACCCATGAAATAGTTAATTTTATGGAAGAAAACCTCTTCAGAACTTAGCTATTTCATTGAAACTCACCTCTAATTGCTGTTCTCTTACTGCTTTTTTTTTTCACTTGTCAGAATCGTAGATCGCTACAATAATGGTGCTCAGATTTGGAACCTGGTTTTTTTTTTTTTTAACATTTGTTTGGGAAGTAGGCGATAATTATATCCTTCACACAGTTGAAAATTGAGACGTGATCGATTTCCCCAGGTTTCAGCGGTGTGTGACTTATGTACCATTTCAGTGATGAGGCCACTAAGGGGATATCCATCTTCAGAAAGAAAGCCCTGTGGTGGGGGTTGTATTGAGAAAGTGATGCTGTCTCATTATTCCAATTGCATTTTCTTCTATAACTTGATAGAGTAGATTTTCAGGAGAAAATATACTGCAGAGATCCATTTTTTGTGTGTAATCAACTGAAAGCCCTGTTGCGTACTTTGTTCCATATAAAATTTAGGAAACCCTCACCTCCAGAAATATTTATTTCTTCACTTTACAAAGCAAGCAGAGTTCTTAGGCCAATTTCCTGAGGTGAACTGTGCACCAAAAATCTGGAAGAAATTAATTTAGACCTCTTATTAGTGGATAGCAGGAAATTAGTGTGGAGGAAACTGAATGACATTACAGTGTTCAGGTTTTGTGCTGGAAGTGCATTCTGGAAAATGCATTCAAACCATATTTGGCTTTTCTGGTTTATTATTTTTTTCTATGTGGTGGCAGGCAGTGTAATGGTCAGTAAGGACCCATGGTGTTACTTCATTCTAAACATAGATGGATTCACACATCACTTTCAGTATTGCTTTGTTTTATCCATGGTTTTTTCAATAAATCATAGTAACTTGGGTTACATATAACAAAAATAATATTTTTACATAACACAGTAGTCGGGCTCAGTGATCCCTGTCCTGGCCTAGTGTAGCATGTGAGTTCATCTTTTGTGATTAACTCAGACAGTGGTTGCTCTTCTGCCTGTACTTGATTTTTTGGCATTTGGGCTGGTGATGTGAGTGAATGACCTGCTGCTCTGCCAGTGTCAGAAGCTTGAACTGGTCTGTTGAGAAGTTCTCTTGAGCTTCTGGAGGATGTCTAGCTATTTCTTTTTCTCTTTCCAGTGATGCTGGACCTAAAATCAGCTGTAGAGCAGCGCTTGGGTTTCAAATCCATCCCTGTGGCTCCAGAGCCTGAAGAGCTGGATCTTGGAGAAGTGGAAGCTACTGTCTTGTCAGATTGGACACCTACCCTGACTGGGACTGAGGTAAGACTTGGTGGAAGGAGCAAAGCAGAGAAATAATTAAATCTGTACATTCTGAAATCCCCTTCGTAAGATTTTATCTATCCTGGCATAAAAATCTGGTGACCTAAGGATTGCCTGTAGGACACTGGTGTCAAATGTGATCATGTCACGTGACATATAGCGATGTATCATGATGTTTTTTGCCTTTCTGGAGCCAGGGTGAGTGGGGCCTGCGCATGACGCATCCGGCCCACGGACTGCCAGTTTGACAGCCTGCTGTAGGATTATTATTCTGGGAGAGTTGCCATCTTTTTCTTTCCTTCTCCTTTCTGGACTTTTTAAGTCCCAGCTGGTTATTAGGCAGGAACAATGCTGGTTTACATCTAAAGACAATGAATTGTTAATTTCTCTGTTCTACTATACTTTTTCACCTTAGTCCTATTACTTTACTAATTTTCTAAGTTTATTCCTGAACTCCTGCTCCTTTAACAATAACTTCAAACTTTTTTTATAGGACCTAACTCCTGGCAGTGTGGAGGAAGCAGAGGAAGCAGAACCTGATGATGAATTTAAGGATGCAATTGAGGTCTGTAGTTTGAGAATCTAGATTGGTCTGTCCTGAGACAAATAAATCAGTTTATCCTTGCCCAATGCTCTCCAGAGATGTTGGATTTTTAACTCCAAGTTCTTGGCCATGCTGTATGTAAGTTGTGGATATTACAGTCCAATGTCTCTGGAGAATACCAGGTTGGGAAAGACTGGAATAAGAAAATATTGATAAACCAGTGGATTAAATGTGGCATTTGGACCAGGGTATTAGGTGAGACTTATTGGTTGGTTTGTTGATGCTTCTCATTGATTAAGATGGCATTATCCATTTGAACCCTCGGCACATATTAATTGAGTGTTGTTGAAATTTCTTTTTCAAATTAATTTGGGATTCTTTGTTGCTTTGGTTTTAATTTTTCATTAGTTGCTCAAAATTGAGGTAGATAAATGAATGGCTATAAAAAGTGCTAAAATAAATAAATTCACCATTTTTGTTCTAAGGTTAGTGAGACGTTCAAGTTAGGTCAAGTTCTTTACCTATGATGTAAATAAAAAATGCAAGAAATAAAAGGGACCTTTCAATAATATACTGCCCTATAAATAGAAAGGAATACATTTAAAGACATGATACTGGGATTGGGCTGTACTGTTTTCTGTCTTTTGGCCATCTTCTCTTGTCTTTTGTCTTTGCTGCAAGAACAGGAGACTCAGCTGCTTGTAATGGTGAGTGCAAGAACTGGGCTGCTCTGTCCTGAGTTTGAATTCCCTTTTTGTTTTGTTGTTTGTGAATCCTAACATCTTAAGAATCAGTCTATCCTATACTTTTTGTCTGGATCATATCCCATCTCCTTATCTATTCTTCCAAGTTGAAGGATTACAGGATCCAATCTGAGTTGGTTACCAGGACCAGAAGTTTAGTCTTCTGAGCTTTTGGACTTGTTTTGAATCCCATCCTCAGAGTACTTCTCTTTCACAAGATGTGTGAGAAAGTTCTGGTGAGAGAGAAGTTCCCTGAGAATGGGCTCCAGCATGAGTCCAAAAGCTCAGAAGACTAAACCTCTGGTCCCAGTGACCAACCCAGATTGGATCCTGCAATATTACCCTGAGGGACATATATTTCCCATCATTCATTTGAGGATTACCTTTGAAGTTTTTCTGCCATCCCGTCCCTTCTCCAAGCTTGGCCCAGCTTTTCCTAGTGTTTGGAACTGTTCTTCTGCATTGTACTTTCCAGGATGTCATTATCTTTATGCCTTAGAGTTTTTCCCACACAATATGTATACCGCATTCCTCATAACCTCTCTTTCTGCCTAGGAGGAAGATGACATCTCTCAGGGTTCAGGAGAGTTTGACCTTGGCCTTCCTGACAGTCCCTTTATGAGCAAGAATGAAGTGATTCGTAGCAGGGTGTCACGGTTGACAGAACGACTGCGCAAACGCTATCCAACCAACAACCTTGGTACCAGACTGAAAGGGGAAGTGGTAGAGGGTTATTGTTGGGAATGAAGCAGGATTATTCAAGAGTATTGGCAGAAGAGGAGGCTTGATCCAAAAACTATTGCAGAGGAAATTAGCACTGAGTAACGCTGTCAGGGTCATGACAGAAAAATACCATCCTGACCACAACTATGTATACAAAAATATCAGGGCCAAGAAAAAAATCATCTTCAGTGTTGTTTGGTATAGAGGTTGGCAATCTTTTATTGCCTCTTCCTGGTTTTATTGGTTCCCAACAACCACAAGAAAATATGTTTAGCTTTTACCTGCTTTAAAGTATGTGTCTGGTTATGTTTTAAAACAAAAAAGCTACTTTAACTCTCTTTAATTTATCAATTTCTACTGCATCCAACTTAATCTCTTCTGAGTTCACCTGCTTTACTAGTTATTTCTTTTAAAAAAAGTTGTACCACTAAATTTCACCAACACTGTATTAGAAACTTAGGGTACAAAAAGAGTCTGGGGGCTGGGTCCAAAAATGTGTGGATGTAAGATAACGAAGGGAATCGGCATAAAATTGATTTTTAAAATCAAACATGATTTGATTTTAAATTAAATTAAAATTAATGATAATTAATTATATTTAATGCATTTATACTTAATCATGTTCTGAGAAAACAATTTGACCAGAATCACTCAGTAAGGTGAGACATTTTCTACCAGTCTTCCTTTATTTCATCTGTTAAGAGCTAATGTCCACTACATCTTTGGTTCCTCCTGACAGTTTTAAGGCACCGGAGGTGGGGGGTGTATTTCACCCAATGCTAATTTCCATGTGTATATAGAATTTTTACATTTCTGCACCTGATTCAAGATTTCAAGTTTTAGAATTGGTTTCTCCCCAAAGAAGGAGCATATTTGTTCAGTGTTTTGTTTTTGCTGAATCCAAATTTTATCATATTCAGATTCTTGCATGAGATTCTCATTCTTAATTTCTTGGTACAAACTGACTCCAAACTAGTCTGGTTGAATGTGAACCGGACTTGATTTTTGTGAGTTATGTATGAATCCAGCCATCAATGGCATGATGGAACTGTAGATGAACAAAGACTTTACTCAGTGGTTGGAAAAAGAAAGGAAGGCCAGGATTTTGGTTTTGCTTACTAAAAGAAGAAAAGCGGTGATTAGGTGTGTGATAGTTACTTGTATCCTTCTGCTCTGTTGCAGGAAACTGTGCAAGTTGTTCTGCCACTTTCTCTGTCTTGAAGAAGAGGGTGAGTCTTTTCTCCAGCCCACCAACTCCCCGCCTGGCCTCTTCCATTTTCTTCTTTCCCTGCTTCATCAATTTCTTGTGGATCTCAGACTGAACTCTGCAGCCTGCTTACTCACTCATCTCCTTGCATCTTTTCCTTCTCTAGCGAAGCTGCAGTAACTGTGGGAACAGTTTTTGCTCCAGGTGCTGTTCTTTCAAAATTCCCAAGAGCTACATGGGGGCTACAGGTAAGTGAATAACAAAAAATGAGATGGGGCAGAGGGAAGAATCGTTTAGGTAAAAGTCCTGTAGGTGGGTATTTTCCTTTCCCAATGGAGGGCAGGGGAAATTGTGACCTGCTATGGTGGGAGATAATAGATGTTCTGAAGATGTGATATGCCTGGAAAGAGGTACCGGTAGTCCTCGACTTAAGACCACAATGGAGCCTAAATTTTCTGTTGCTAAGCGAGACAGTTGTTAAGTGAATTTTGCCCAGTTTGCAACCTTTCTTGCCACAGTTGTTAAGTGAATCACTGCAGTTGTTAGGTGATTCTGGTTTCCCCATCGACTTTGTTTGTCACAGGTTCGCAAAAGGTGATTACATGACGCCAGGACCAGGGGTGGGTTCTAAATTTTTTTACTACCGGTTCTGTGGGTGTGGCTTATTTTGTGGGCATGGCTTGATGGTCATGTGACAATTCTTTAGGATTTAGCAGAGCTACTGGTCTACCAGGCTTTTAACTGCTTGCAGAGCTGTACCGATCTACTCATTTGTGTTTGGAGGCACTGGTCTACTCATTTGTTTTTGGAGGCACTGGTCTACCCATTTATTTTTGCAGGCACTGGTCTGCCTTTTAACACTGCCTTTTAACAGTGATCAGCTGTAGGGTGACTCTTTGAAGTCCCGCGGCAAGAGTTTAAACAGTTTTTTTCCTTCTAGCCAATCAGTTGCGACTCAGAAGGCAGCAACAGATTGGGGGTGGGGCCAAATAAAAGGTAAGAATAATGCAGGGGGGGCGGGGGGAGCAGAACCGGTTCGGTGATGTCATATCATCACCGCTACCAGCTCGGCGGAACCGGACCGAACTGGGAGGAACCCACCACTGGCCAGGACACTGCAGCCGTCATAAGTATGAGTCAATTGACAAGCATCTGAATTTTGATTGTGTGACCATAGGGATGCTACAACAGTCGTGTGAAGAACGGTCATAAGTCACTTTTTTTGCATGCCATTGTAACTTTGAACGATCACTAAATGAATTGTTGTAAGTCGAGGACTACTTGTAGTGAGTGGGAAACTGCATAAACTTTGGTTAGTCCTGAAATTCTGATTGGTGTTTCTAATTGCAGCTCCAGATGCCCAGCGGGAGACTGTCTTTGTATGTGGGCAGTGTAACCAAGCACTCACCAAGTGAGGAGCCCGTATGGAATCCAATCTTCAGATGAATCTGCTGGGGATCTTACACTACACTAGCTGCTACTTGAAGGGAGACAAGCAACAGCACTGCTTCTTTTCTTCCTCCCTCTACTTGTAAAAAAAAGGAGGGCTAGCACATCTAACCTGCTGACTGCTCTACGTGCTCATGCTCTCTTTCTTGAAAGCAACTGAGGAGATTCCTGCAATCCTGGTTGTATGGAGGATTCTTCATGCACTAAACTACTGTAGGCTTCCTTCCCTTCTCCCAATTCCAAGAGCAAATATTATTTCATTTCTAGTCTGTGGCCCCATTTTTCCCCTCTGCAGTTTGGCTGTCAGGAGGTTGGCTGTCCTCATTTTTGAAAGGTCACTCTTGGCACTTGGACTCCTCAAACCTCTCAAAGTGTTTTACTATTGCTGAGGTGCCACCCCTCTCTTTCTGTGTGTTTGTGTGTTCTGAAATGAAGGCTGGGTCTTTGTTCAGATGATAGTTATAGTTGGCTCTGAGAGCAGGCTTTGCAGGGCCAAGAGGATCAACTGGTTGTCCAACTGGTGAGGTAGCTGGATCTACTTTTTCTGCCTATTTCAGGTGAGGATAGTGTTTCTCTCCCTTTTCCACTTCCATGCCATTGACTTTATTTTGTTAGTTTTCCTCTAAAGCCCCTTTTATCATGGTCAGACTAGGATCTGGAAAATGTGTGCGTTTCATCCCTGCATTGTTAGAAGGCAGAAGTTGCTGTAGTTAACTGGGGTTTTTGCTAATAGCAAGGCCTAGCTGAAAGTCAGGGAGCTTCCTTAGGAGGTAGACCACTTCTGCAGAAGTGGGACATTATTGGACTATTGCAGAGTAATATATATCCTACCAATAAACAATATCCTTGGGTGTGAAGGCAACATTTTCAGAGTCTGAGGTAATTTTTATTGCTGTGAGGACTAAAAGGTCCCTGCTATGGATAAATATTTCTGGAAGAAGAGCATCATTAGGCAGATAGAACAGTGGAACATAGGATGCATAGTAGGGAATAAGAGAATGGAGCAGTTCTTTGGGACAATACAGGATATGGTGGGTTTCTGCAAAACAGACATATTGTGTCTATAATGTGCTGACACATGTGGGATATGAGATGGAGGATCATATATGTAATCCTAAATGCCAAAAGGAAATCTTTTTTTGTGTGGAGCTGACAGTATCTCAGGCAGTCCCTTTGAGACTCAACCATGGTGAAGTATTGGGTATGCCTGATGGGAATATAACTGAGAATGCCTTTTGCTTTGGGGACATTAGAAACATAAATACAAAGCCTGGCTGAAAATAGATTCGGAACACTATGCTTTTGACTTAGTAGATGAACTAAATCTCCCCATTTCTGACTGTAGACAGTTGTACATGTCATCAAAGGCATTTGGTTTTCCAGTGCTAAAAATATATTGCAGGACTAGATGGAGTCTTACTTTAAGACATGAAGTGACATTTTATAAATCTTCACAGTATGCCAGGCACCCACAACATTTTTGAGTTGCTTGTTTCATTTGAGAAACATTTTGTGGATGCTCACAAAATGACTGTTGGGGCAAAGAGGATTTTCTACTGACAGAATGGCTGCTATTCTTTGCTCCAGAGTCCAGACTATTAGAATACTACCACCAGCAACTACCACCCCTGTTTCTCCAAGCACCCCTAGTTCACTGCTACTTCTACTAAGCTTTGTTCTTTTTCTGGATAGGTGGCTATTTCCAGGTGAAGTTTTGAAGTACAGTATCATAAAGATGATGCTGAAGGTTGGCATTTTTCTTTATGCCAGCTTCCCAATGGTTGTAGTGCATTATTTTTTAATATGTAATCTGTGGTGAAACCAGGAGCCTACTAGCTTCTATGAAAGGAGTCTCTGTGGAAAGATGGGAGGTCCCATGAGAAACATGGCTTATAAATTAGAAAAAAGATAAAACTTCTTCTTTACTTCCTGCTGTTTTTTAAAATGTCAAAAACAATGGAGACTTTGGTGTCTGAAAAACATCATCAGCAGCCATTCAGTCATGTCTGATCCACGGCCACTCTATGTCTGTAAAACACATACTGTATAATACTCTCACCAACAATAGCTTCAATTAGGCTTCAAAGTTGTTAATTCATAGAAGAGGTAAATAACGTATTTTTTGGAGTATACGACGCTCTGGACTATAAGACGCACCTACCTTTTTTGGTGAGGAAAACAAGAAAAAGAAACCTGCCTCCCAGCAATTTTGCCTCATTGTAGCAAACAGCAAATAACCTGCTTTACTTTCATTTTCGTTTTCAGTATAGCTTGATTAGCACAAGAAAAAAAAATCTACTCCCAGCAATTTACCTCCTTGCAGCAAGCAGCAGAGGCCTGCGCAAAACAGCTGAGAACAAAACAGCTGAGAGTCAGGAGGTCGATCCAATCAACTTGTGCTAATTAGGCTGTGCTGAAGCTGAAACGAGCCGTTTCTTCTTGCTGCTTGCTGCAAGGAGGTAAACTGCTGGGAGGCAGAGGGAAAAAGGTGCATCTTATACTCTGAAAAATACGGTAGATCTGTTCATCCCATCCACCTATAAGCATTTAAAAACTAGTCAGCTGCTGGGGAAAGGAGGCCTATGTAAGTAATAATTCAGCAGTAATAACATATTACTTCAGATTTTGTACACTACTCATACAATGTTTCTAATAATTTCCCTTATGACTGGTGCAGTATGATTTTTTAAAAACTGATCAAATGAGGAATTCCTGTCCCCCTCCCCCAAACTGCACATACATAATTGCACTGGGATAGATCAATTTATCCTGATAGTTGTTGCCAAATCCTCTTCTAAGATAATGTAAAGCTTTTATTTCTGTATTTATTAATTGCCATTTTATTGGAAATATAAGAAAACCGTGCCTCTGCTGCTGCTGGCCTCCCCACAGAGTCAGAGGACTTGCAAAGAAACTAGTCATGCCAGGTGCTGAATGGGTCAGGGGTCAGGTCAGGACTGTTATAAAGTGAGACCCTGAGGTCTCAGCCAGCCCCAGGTCATTTTATGTGCAGTTTAATAGCTTTTCTACATTAAAATTTTTTGTCATTTTGTTTATGGCTTTCAAGTTAAAAATGTAAAGGATCATTTGGAAAGTAAATTAGCTTGATGAAGCCTGTCTTTCTTCTCCCTTGAATTAAGAAGAAAATAGGGTAACTGCAAATGATTTTTTCCCCAGGAAGTATTTGAGCAAAGGTGGGTCTCACATTGGCAGATTTAATAGATATAAAATGATGTTGACGAACTATAAATCAAAAGATACAATTTATGGGAGTGCTAAGATTTCACTGACAAAGTTCTGTTTCCTGATGGTTAACTTTAAACTTGTTCTTCAGGATAATGTTGATGGAGTTTGTGTGAAAAAAAAAACCCATGGAGAATGTTTTTTCTACAGCTTATCTTTGGAGAGGGAGAACCCTAACCTTTTAAATTGAGTTTGGGTTGTATTAGTCTGAGAGCAGAACGAGGAGGTTTTGTTTATAAGAATAGACAAAAGTTCTATCATGAAAGTAATTTCAGAGGATGTTTTGAAGAAGGGTGAGACAAAGGTAGCAATTGATAGGGAAAGTTGAATAAACGGAATCCCAGAACTGGTCAATTTCCTTGTGTCAGCGACACATTTATGCTTCCAACTTTCAAAACTGCATTTGTGTGTGTGTGTTTTGAGATGATTTTATGAGGAAAATACTTGATCTATGTCTGTAAGGGGCACACAATGCAACAGTTGTGAAGCTTAATTGGAGAAATGTCTTTTGTCAGTTTTTAACGATCTATTTTCATTTTATTTAATTAGCAAATAGGTAATCTTCTTGCAAGGAAAAGTACAGATTACATTAGAAGTAATTAAACCTGGAGATTTAGGAACTAAAAGTTCTCATTACTCCAAAATATTATAACTTTGGTGGCAATCCCACAGATTTTGGCACAACATAAGGTCTGGAATACAGTAGAGGATAGAGAATTGAAACTAAGCCACCAATGCTGTTGATACTGTTGCTTGCAATGTCATCATATAACCCCAAAGAAAAATACTTTTAGGGGGAAAAGTAAAAGAAAAGAAATAGATGGATAGCAAACTAAAATATAAATTCAGAGAGTCTATGAGAAAATATTCAGGGCCAGTGCGATATAATGCTTTTTTTCTACATAACTGATTCTTAAGAGACAACTTTCAAAGTGCTCCTTTTTTCAAATTCTATCTGGTGCAAATCACCTACCTATCAGTTTTTTCCTTCCCTCTTCCCCTGCCACCATTTTTGTTCTAAAACTTCAGAAATGTCCATTTTTTCATCTATGAAAATTCACTTGTTGTAGACAAATATTTAAAAGAGTTGTGGCAACAATGATGTCAGAAGCAATCTTGATATCCCCAGTGTGTGTGTGTCATGTAAGACTGTTTGCTCTAGTGGTTAAGGCACAATGCTAGAAACCAGGAGAGTGTGAGTTCTAGTCCCACCTTAGGCATGTGACTTTGGGCCAATCACTCTGGCCCAACCTGCCTTATAGGATTGTTTTGGGAAAATAGGACGAAGGAGTATTACATATATTTGCCACCTTGAGTTATTTACAAAATAATAAAGGTGGGATTAAAAATAAAATAAAATATGTAAATGTTGAAAACTCCCACAACTCAAAGTCCACATATCTTAGACTTGCCAGGGTGAGATACAGTGTTAAAAGTGTCTAAAAAGCTTTTATCCCGTTTGGAAAAGATATTTCTTCTCATCCACTTTTTTTCTCTCAAAGTTTTGGCTAGGAATAAGTCCCTATGAAAAATGTATCTGTGTGCAAGCAGGATTATTCCTTTCCATTTTCTTTGTCTTAGGCAGTTTTCCTGTCTCCCGGCCATGCTAATGCTATACACGCATTTGTGTGCCCAGCTGTAGGAGACAAAGCAACTTCACCCTGTTTGCCATTTGGCTAGCATCCATCCTCTTGATGGTCTGGCATCTTGCATGGTGGATAGCCACCTGGAAGGCCTGGTTGGTTTGGCATCCTTCCTTGAAGGCAAACACAGGAATACTGATACTCTGACACATTGCCAGCATCCACAACAATATTAGAAATAGTTTCAACACTTATCCAGCAACTTGGCCTTAAAATATGCCCACATGTTTCAAGGTAGAGCTGCTTATGGCAGGGATGTATGTAAGTGAAATTATAGGTAAAGAATCCCTTTTGCTCAAAACTATTGACTGCCTTTTAGCACCATCTCAAAAAATTGCTCAATCTTTGCTTGAAATTCTATTTCTTTGAGTTGGAAATAAGAAAACCCAAAATTTGGTCAGGCCCAATAGAGTCCTAGTTTGAGCAACATGTATTTCTTCAAGCACATGAGAATATGGTGATCAGCCATACTTGGAACCTGATTCCTGGACTATTGTTAAAAAAATAATGTAATAAATCACTTTAGAGAGGTTTAAAAGAATGTATAAATTAATGGTTCATTAAACGTGGATTTCCTGCTCTTAATCTTTATGTATTTTAAGACTTTTTATTAGAATGAAATGAAAATGGAGAAATTAATTTCAAATGTTTCAGTTTAATTATATGTTTCCATTAAAACACTGAGCAATTCAGATGAAAGGAGGATACACTGAGTGTGATGATGTTATTATTCAAAGCCACAAAGACTTTTCTTATTTGGCAGCTGATGGTATATCAAGGATAAGGAAGAATTTCTGTAAGATCTCTGAAGTCATATGAGTATCAACAACGTGCAGGATTCTTCAGAATATTTTTAATCAAACTCAATTATCCTATGGAAAACAGAATCCTCAGAAAAATGGGCTCTAACAGCTTGTATCTTGATGTCAGCTTGCCCACAGAAAAAGGATATTTGTGTGTGGCCCTTTCAGTGTGGGTCTGATCCATAAAAGAATGGATAGTGCAAGGAACATGGATAAGAGAACATGAACTTAACTGCAAATTTCATTTCCTTGTTCTTCTTCTCCCAGCGGTAAATGGCCAAGACTAGCAGTCTCCCACCCACTTTGCGGCCCATAACCAGAAAGCTGCCACTGAGGTCATCAAGCTGAGGGCAAGGACAGGTGCCTGCATTCTTCATATACAGTACCAGCTTTTTGGTATCCTTGCGTTTCAATGGCCCCACTTTGAGCAGTTTTTTTTTCTTTTGAGTGGCCACTAATCGCCTCTCCCCATTTTCCTTTTTGATCTCCTTGATGCGCATCTTCACCACTGTGGAAGAGAGGATAGATCATAAATTGCCTGAAAACATTACAACTTAAGGAGGGAAGTCAGTGAAGGGAGAAGTAGAGAAGTAGATAGAATTGTAAGTATGCAAATTGTGGAGTTGATGAGTATAGTTCCTTTGATTTTAAGTTTCAAAATTGACCTTTAAAATGCTGGCAGAGGAAAACCAAAGATAGATGGCAGACAAGTTGAAGCTGCATGAATAAATGGGAGTGATTTACTCATCCCTTGCCACATTTTCCTACTGGCTACTTTTTTGCACATGACAGAAATCTATTTTGTCTCAAGGCCCAGCTACCAGAATTTTAGCTATGTCACATTGGTTATCCCTGAAGTCCATTATTTCAGTAGTGAGGGTATCTGGAAAAGGTACAGATCATCCAATTTTATTTTACAGACTGAATTTAGGGGGGTTTTTTTGTTTTTTGTTTTGCTTTAATTTATATGCCGCCCTTCTCCGGAGACTCAGGGCGGCTTACAATGCATTATAACATTTTTTTGGATTGTTAAAAAGTTTATAGAGCACAACAGCATTGAATGCAGGTATAGCATTTTTGGGAATTACTGAAGTTATAGCGATATACCACCAATTTCATCTTTTGATTTTCCCATGTGAGGAAATTCTTTGGGTGACTTAGCACAGATCATTTCTAATAGAATACACATGAACAGACCTTCTAAAAAGCACAAGAACTCAATCATCCAAAGTGAATGAGCAAATTTATATTTGGTTATGTGGGGGGAAATGTGCTTCCTTGGGAGGAGCTTGTTACCATGTACAGTCTGGAAATAAAGGAAGCTCAGGTATTGATTTATGACAACTTTTGGGGAAAACCCTGGGAAAAATTTAAGGGAATGCTATAAATTGTATTTTTGAAGTGAAATATTAAAAAAAAGCTATTTCAGTTTGGGGGGAAAAGAAACTGGTGCTCATCCCTGAATTAAATGAAGTAGAATTCAAGATTGACAACCTTAATGTGACAGCAGAAGTAGAATACCCTGCAAGCCCCTCTCTATCTCCACCTTCGCCTGTGGTAATAATCTTCTTTCCTTTCATGGCACACAATTACCCTCATGAAGCAGTTGCCTTAGCTTGGGTAGGTCTAGCTTCTCTGAGGGTGTGAAAATGTACGTGAAATGTATCATGTTCTGCATCGGAGTAAACTGTTCTGCTGCTGGTATCATCTTGTCTCCTACACAGTAGTTCATTGCTAAGGAAAAATCTGCCATCTTTAACCACAGCTATTTTCAGTCTTCTGTTTGCCTAGATTGATTATTCTGAATATTTGGTTGATCTCATCTTTTGAAGGACTGAACTATAACTACATAAATACTTTATTATGATTATTTTGAAAATATATGCCTTGGCTTTTCTATAAGGACTTTTCAAGGCAGCAAATAAATGATATCCTCTTTTAAATGGAGCACCACAAAATTAACAAAAGAAAAGAAAACTACTCAAAATTCTAATAATTATAGGGGATGAATATTATTATTAGTGCCTGGAGATTGTCTTCAAAAATGAATTCTATGATCAGGCTGTTATTAAAACTTTGTTTTTCAAAAGTGAGAATATTGAAGGGTGTTGGAAGATATAAATCAGGCAGACCTACCATGTTTCCCCGAAAATAAGACCCTGTCTTATATTTTTTTGACCCCTGAAATAAGCGCTTGGCCTTATTGCCATGCGCTTAAAAGCCCAATTGGGCTTATTATCAGGGGATGTCTTATTTTGGGGGGAACAGGGTAAGTGACAAGGCTGCTTAGAAATGTGAGAAAATATTAGAGATGAGATGGGTTCAGACAAAGGTTTTTTCCTGGAATATGAATTTTGAGCTACTGTGAGTCAAAAAAAAAAAATCACATTGATTTGGTCCCAGAAACAACCTGGAAGCTGCTGAAGGATCTGATTGAAAATAGGTGGAGTTCAAGCAGGGAAAGGGAAGTAAGAGTAACAAATATTTGATGTATTCCCAATAGCTGCTTGTCCCAGATCCCCACTGCTGCTTTGTGTGTATGATTTACCAAAGTCACTGGAACACATCTGCTCCATGATGCCATCCGCTTTATGTTCCATCTCACACTGGGTGCAAATCTTTGACACTGTAAGATAGAAAAAACGAATGTGAGCCAGGGGTGAAATCTACTTAACTTCCTTACCGGTTCGGAAGCGCATGCACCGTACTTAAAATTATGGTAATTAAGATGGGGAGGGAGGAAGCAAAATCAATCACATCCAGCATGGTACTCCCCCATTGGAGCTCCAAGCTTGATTGTTTTCTTGTAGATGTTTCACACAACTAGCTAACATAGTGATACTGACTTTGTTATCTTATTGTGTAATGAAATGTCTACAAGAAAACAACCAAGCTCAGAGAGCAGCAAGGATTCCACAGTTCAACCCTGAGCTACAAATATTGTCTTTTATAGAGACATCCTCCAGCCACCACAAAATAGGCAAGGGGGAAGTTGCTTCTTGTGGATGGTTATTAAAATTCTACATGACTGATTGGGATTAGTGTCTTTAGAGCGAGTTGGATGGAGGAACTTAACCAAACATTCCTGAATGGCTGTGGTATCTCTGGATATATGAGACAGAAAATGAAAAGACAGAGAGTATACCTAGGGAAACTTACTTTTGCGGACAATGATTTTGAGACTCTTCCTATTCAAGTCAGAGAAATAATTTTTGCAATCTTGTTTAGAGGACACAGCTGATGGGGACTGGGGTAAGTGGGTGAGGTGAGCTCAGGAAGAAGTTGCTTCAGGGTTGTCTTAGACAAAAAATTCTTTTGTACCCAGTGACAAGGTTTAGGTATTTACATATCATGCTAATGTCTTGATTCAATCTAGCAAGTTAAGTGAATAGGACTGGTATATGTGCATGAGAGACAGATTAGTGCTGATATTTCAAAATCATCCATTTTAATATTCCTTTATTTTCCTGCTGGTTTTTTTCCCCTCTTGCTATTAAAAAAACGAAAGAGGGAAAATAAAAGTTCGTTGATGGAAGCACTCTGAATCATTCTGGCTTAGGGATCGGACACAGCTTGTACACCACAGCAATTCTGAAATGAAAGGACCTGGAGCTAAAAGCTGTGCTGGCAGTATTTCTCAGCCGTGACAACTTGAAGAGATGTGGACTTCAACTCCCAGAATAGTCAAGGTTGAGAAACATGATGTGCTGGAGTTTGCTGGGCTTTGGCTTCTAAGGCCTGGGTTATGGAAATAACTTGGCTATATCTGCTTCTTGTCCAAGGAAAACATTTTCATAAAAATTGCTCTGAATGCTATGGTGTTTGGGGTGAAAATAATATGCTTTGCCTCCATATCTATCTATAGAGATTCTCAGTCATCCAGGTTATGGTTGTCCTAAAGGTGCTTTTTCAAGAGGGAACTGGACTTTCTGGTTGTTGTTTTTTAAAGATGTTTCACTTATCATCCAAGAAGCTTCTTCAGCTCTCCGCTCCATAAGTACTGTTGATTACATTCAGAAGCCTCTTTGTTGAAAATGGTGCTTCCCAGATCCCAGATGTAGACTGGTTCATACCAGGTCCAGATTTGGTGCTCACCAAGCCCAGGTGTAGAAAAAAAGAGTTTCTGTGTACTTTTTCCAGCTTGCTCTATGATCGGAATACCTCTGAAATTAGTCTGGGTTCTCTTTTGATCAAACAGTGCCTCCAGCTGGCTGCTGTGCCAAAGAATTTGCAAACAACTGCTTGTAGATAGCAGATGAGCATGCCTATGTGAGGGCAAACATTTGTTGGTTTTGGTTCTAAAATCTCTCTGTATTCACCTCTCCCTGATTGCATGCCTGAGAGGATGAGCTCCTTCAGGGTTCATTACAGTATGTGAAGTAGCTTGCACTCCTAAAAGAAGCATACTAGAGAAAAAGTCACATTATGTTGGATGTTTCATCCTATATGAATGCTACTGCTTTTGTAATTGGGCTTGGAAGTAATATTCCAGAGCAAAAGAAACTCTGTGTACAGCAATCCTGAAATCATTAGAAGGATCAAATTATACGAGGCTACTCGGAGACTGTAATTTGCATTAATAGTAACACACACGTTATTTACAAGGTACTGGGATGTATAGACAGTAAGAGAGAACAAAAGCCCCAGTGTCCTCCAAATAGGAGGATAATGAAGCAGAAGGTAATGTCCTGCTCTTATAATACAGAGAAGAAAAACATTGATATTGGTACAATGTTGTGTGACAAATGTCTGTACAAATTGCAAAATATGTAGAACCTGTAAAAGATAGAGGGTAGGAGTCCAGACTAGTGTTTTCCAATCTAAGACAACTTCTAAGTGTATTGACTTAAAGCCTAGTCCTTGAATGACAACAATTCATTTAACAACCATTAGAAGTTACAACAGTACTGAAAAAAGTCACAATCAGTCCTTGCACTTACAATTGTCCCAGCATCCCCATGGTCATGTGATCAAAATTCATAAATCAAAGACTACTTATAATAGAAATCCAAACATCTGGAAGCACTGACACCAGGAAACACTAATATAGACAGAAGCATGCATAAGATTTGTTTCTAGGAACCAAAGTCCAGGGAGCATTGTAAAGTGGGGTTCTATAGAAATGGTATAAGAAATAGCTATATTAATTTTCCCCCCACCTTCCCTGCCCTCCATGCTGTTACCTGGTGGCTGAGTAACTTGGTTGTTTCCAAACTGCACTGTGATGCAGAGGTCGTTGTCAAAGGGAAATTTGTTGCAGTTGAGCATATCAGGCCAGGGGAAGCCATAGGATTCCATGACAGGCGCACATGAATCACGCACAACTTCACATAAGGAACGGCATGGATAGATGGGCTGGTCCAGGCAGACGGGTGTAAATAGAGAGCAAAGGAAAACTTGTGTGTCTGAGTGGCATCTCTTGGCCAGGAGAGGTACCCAGCTGCTGGCTTGTTGCTTGACCTCAGGCATAGATTCATGCTCCAGCAGATTAGGTAAGCGCATACGTTTGTAACCCACATTATGGCAGAGCTGCAGATCAGCTGGGATGTCCATACACTGTGATTGCTTGGCATAGAAGCGTCCATGCTGAAAGTTATCTGAAGGCCAGCTGTAGTAATCATACTCCTGACTCATAGACTGCACCCAGCCTTGCAACAGAACCATTATTAGTGCATCCAAGACATTCCACCGACAGAGAAAGATCATGGTCCAGAAATAACGCTGTTTCTGCTGGAAAAGAGGCAAGTGAGTTGCTGCAGGTGCCACTGGCAACTAACTTTACTGCTCTGTTCTAATCCCAGCCAAAGTGAACTGCTAGTACCTGCTATGGAAACCAGGTACCTATGCCCAGAAAAGCAAATCTCTGCTCTCCAAGTGGCTCTTTATATTTGTCACTATCAGTGGGATGGAAGGAGCTGAAGCTGGATTCACGTAAAGCCTCTGCTCCAGGCTATTTAGCACCACCCCTTCTAAGTTTGTGAAGGAGCCTCTTGGGGGTAGCCAGCAGCCAATCTTCACTAGCAAGCTTCCCTCCTCCCAAGTCTGACTTGGGTGCCAGCCATGAACATGTCCCCACCTCTAACTCTGGGCTGCTCCTCCACCCTCAGTCTTCCCCCTCCTCCTCCTCCTTCCCTGCCCTGGACCATCTGGGTTGTTCGTATGCCTTTCAAAACAGCCTTGTTCTTTTCCATAAGATGCATGGCATCAGTCTCCAGCTGCCATTGCCTTGAAATACTACAAAGCAGCTATCATTAGGCAGCAGATTTTCTGTCCCCAGGCTTCATTTCTGGAGTGCATTAAAAATGAGCAGATTAGTTTAAAGCGGCTTTCATTCTCCCCTCCTATTTCAGGTGCAAAATATGTTAGTCCTGATAAGACCATGAAAAACCTGTCTGTTTTGATTAGCAGTCTCTCTAATGTATTGAGACAAATGTTTAGCCTACTAGTTAAACAATGAAACAATCACATTCTGACTTTTTCCTGTAGAGATTATTATAGGTAAAAGTTTTGGTGAGGGTGGCAGGAAATACTGTCACCCCTTTTACAATATTTTTTTGAGAGAGACAAAGGAGAGCAAATCTGTGTCTGTTTTAGTAAAGTTAACAATGAGGGGATCTTGTCAGGATGATCACTCAGAATGAAGAGAAGCATCCTCTTCCTCCACCTCCTCCCTACACCAGATAAGTAAATAGGTGATATGTATGCTTCCTGGAGAACAAGAAGATGAACCATGTAGGCTACCAGAAATTATCATGGGGAGCATATGGGAGACTTTTGAAAGAACTATTGTTGTTGTCAGATGAATAAATGTCTAAAGTATTATTCACTAGACCAGGGGTGGGCAACTGTGGCCCTTTTACAACCTGTGGACTTCAACTCCCAGAATTCCTGAGACAGCCAAGCTAGTTCAGGAATTCTGGGAGTTGAAGTCCACAGGTTGTAAAAGGGCCACAGTTGCCCATCCCTGCACTAGACAGAATGTGAAAACTCTTTGCAAAAGGTATATGCTCATATATTTTATGTAATATACTTATATGACTGTCCATTCACCAAAGCATTCTGGGTGGCAAACAAATGAGTCTCTGACAGCTAGGTCTGTCATTTGTGGGATGTACAGCTGCTCCCATATAAAGAACTGGTGCTAAAATAAATCACCAGCCTCACATATTAGTTGTGCTGTTACACTATGAAAACCCGTGATTAACCGAATTATCCTGATTGCTGGAGTTTGCACAATACATTAAACTCTAAATTAACCACACTGACTAGGTTTTTCCACTATAATTGATGATAATCTCTATGTCACCTTTCTGCTTAGCAAAAACATTTAGGGTTACAGTTAAAACAGTAACTACAGTGTGGTATTTAATGGACAGTAAAATATAGAATATTTTTTTTTCTTTTTACAACCCTTTAATTCCTTTATTGGGGTGAGTCAGGGTGACTAGAGAATAAATAATATAAAAACTAAAAAAAAAAATTGAAAGCACAAATATTTGTGTACTCATTTATTACTATTATTTATATTCTCCATTTCCAGTCCCAGTTCTATCCAAGTAGTTTTCAAGCAACATAGATAATTCTGAATTAAAAATAAAACATTCTTAAACAAACAAACAAACACAAACATTTTTTCCAAACCCCTTCCCCAGGGCAGTTGACACTAATGGCCTTGTAGCAGAGAAGGGAGAATTCTGGAGAAAAGGCTTTGATAATCCCCATCACCTCCCCCCTTGGCTTAATGAATAACTCGGTCAGTTCTGATTCAGACAACTGTGCTTAAAACATATCATGGCTAAAACCAATCACAATTCTTTTGTGGAAAGATAGCTAGAATAAAGCCTGTTAAGATTTCTAATAGTTTACCTAATATTTCACAAAAGCTGTGATGTATAAAGATAACACTACAGGGCTTGTGATAAACCCCGACATGTTCCTTACCTAGTCTGTGTTCCAGCTAGGTCGTGTTTGAAATAAAACAAAAAACAGATGGGTTTGAATGTCCGTCTGCTCTTCTTGTAAATTCCATGTAGGTCAGTGTTTCTTAAACTTGGCCACTTTAAGGTGTGTAGACTTCAACTCCCAGAATTCTCTAGCCACTGATGTAAGTGATGATGCAGAGCCACATCTGTAATTGAGACTGAAACCAAACATCTACTTGAGCTAAGGGGCAGAAGGTTGTGCCTTTGCTGATTGTGAATGCGGCTAGAAGGCAGCATTGAATCTTATTGAATGTGGCATGTATTCATTTTGATGGGATGTGTTAAACTACTCCTGTTTTTTAGGAAGTGTTATTGAATCTAGTTGGCAGCAAAGACACAACATTTCTGTGTCCCTGTATTGCCATTTAGTGGTAGTTTGGATTTCTGCAACTTAGATCTGCTTGCACTGTCTTTGAATATGTAGGATTACAATGCACAACATCTCTAGCCAGCATAATCCTTAGATAAATTTGAGGATGAGGGGAGTTGCAGTCCAACATCTGGAAAAAAACAAAACTTAGCTATTAGCTGGAGTCTTTGCTAATATAACCACCACACCTGGACTCCATTACTTGGGCCAACTGTGAAATGATAGCACAGAGTTAGATGGCGGTGGGGTTTTTTTGGGGGGGTGTACCTGTTTTCTTCTATCTATTGGCTATCTGTATTTTTCCAGCCCAGATCTGGTAGCCCTTGATATAAATATACATACAGTAAATAGAATAAAAGAGGAAGCAAACATGCTTTATATTATGTTGAAATTGCCATTGTATTGTAACAAGAATTTTGAGATCAGCAGAAATTCAGCCGGTGTAGTTTTCTCCATTGCTGTTGAATGATTTGATTGTTGTTAAATACTTTAAATTCACAGGACCATTTTCATTAAATAAGTGGATTAGATATACGGTAGTGTCACTCATGTTTGTGATTAATAAGATTGTGAAAAAGAACTGCAAAGTTCTGGATTACAGATAAATATTAGCTAATACACAAACATCTCTTTTCTTGTATCTATCTAGTGGTTATTTTTGCAGTCCAAATCTTATACTGTAACCCTAAGTTAAAGAAAGATTCTCGTTACTTTTAATGAGACAGTCTGCCCTGAAAAAATTGGGGTTGGGATAGATACTGGAGCCCATTATAATGAGGGAAGTCTAGCTACTTATTAAATATAACAATGTTTTATATATCTTGTGAGAATTTATGTTGCAGCCAACATCACTAGAGAATTACTTCAAAGGTCAGAATAAAAGCAAAATGAAGCGAGAAAACCACCAAATAATATTATTTGGGAGAATAGATATGCTACCACTCTGCAGTGAAATGTGTAGAGTTAATGTAGATTTTCTTCCAAATATTGAATGGATGTACTTTTAGCAAATTTAAAAGTGTTTAAAATGAGCAATTTATTAGGTTTATCACCTGTTCATTTTATGTGAAAAACTTGTGCTTTAAATAGACCAAACTAACCAAGATACTTTTCTCTAACACTGAATCTAATCAGTGAATCTAATCAGTCATTAGAACTTCTTCTAATTAAATGAACTCTGCTCAATAGCTATTAAAAGCATCACTGCCCAATTGTGGCAAAATGTTATAAATTAGCAATTTGGTAAAGTGCACAACAGAAAATGTCTAAATAATAACCTGGTTATATGAAAATATGTCAAAGACCCTTTGATATTCTCAGAAACCATTCTCAATGAAGAGAGCCTAGCTCTGAAATAGGGCCACATTATGTCATTGCATCAAGAGTCACACACAACACAAACGGGCTTTTGAACCCACTAGGCCTTGGGAACGAGGCAGGAATGAACAAAGTTAAGGAAAGTGTTTCAGAAAGATTACTCAGTTCTGGGAAAGAAGAAAGCATGAGAAGGACATTCAACAGAATCTCACCTTGACATTGTTTGGTAAAAGAAGTAGTAGAGAGAAATTCTTAGAAGCTTTCAAGCTTTATTATATCCTACAACAATAGGTCATTCTTGAAAACCACATTGTTCCTGTTTCTTGACCTTGAGTGCCTCAAAGGATTGACAGTGAGTAACATCCTACTATCCTTCATAATACTTGATATCACAACTGAAATATATATCCACCCCAAAATAAGGTTCAGTAAACTTTCCTCCCAGGTAAATAGATCTAGACTTATGGCTAAAAGACTTAACATTTTTATAGTTGGAAAATGTTTAACATGACAGAAATATTTTTAAAATGCATTTCAAATAAAACCTTTTGGCTAATCTTGCTATTTCTCGTAGCTTGTATGTGTTATATGGTCATCATCAGGTGCTGTCATCCAGTTTCACATATACTACTCAGTGCAAAGATAACTTTTTGGGGACATAGATTCCAGGTGGGATTCAGCTTTGTTTTTTTTTTAGTTGAAGTGGAGAGACACCCTCTCTCAAGCATATTAATTGGTGGCTGCCGCTGGAGTTCAGATAAGATAGAGACATGGCTTTATCAAACCCACTGACTTGAGTGAAGGGGATGGCTTCAGGGCCCCAGTTATCCCAGCTAAGAACAAGATAAGCTCTCTGGCACTGACAGAAAATCGCTGGCTTCTGATGAATGTGCTGTTTTGATGTTGCTAATGAACAGTATGTAGAGGGGGGAGAATGACAGGCTTTGGAGTGTGAGTATCACAAGGTGAGACTGTATGTGGGAATTTATAGGAGTGTGAAAACAAAACAGTGTATGAATCAGCCATTTGGGGTGATTTGGGGCTAACTGCTGGTTTCTATTATGTTATTTTTAAGGAAGGAGTGAATTTTATTTCTCGTTTGCTTGAAGGAACTGTTAGCCTGAAACGACTGTACGCCCACTTAGAAAAAATGGCTGGGCCACTTATTTGTCTTTTTTATGAATGGCAATAAAATCCTGCCTGCCAAATTCTCAAGATCATTTTTGTTCAGAAAGTGCCCCAAATATACAGAAGCACTTCTTC